GTAGATATTTTGACCAAATGATATATACCAGAGGCCATTTATACTAGTCAAAGTTGGCCTTTATTTATTCGTTGCCAAGACACACAAATGGCGTCTGTACAAATACCCTTCGTTAAAAAGCTACAAACAAAGCTTTAAGAAACTTATTACACAATTTTAAAGTATAAGAATGAAATAATATTTGTGCCAAGTTTTGTTTTCATAGGATTGTTTTTACGCCCCCGCTATTTTCGTAAAGAAGCGTGAAATTCTGAGCATTTTAAGCCGCGAAAACCGCCATTATATGCAAATTTCGAACTTACTTAAATTTTGGCCGTAAAATAAATCGTTGGAACTTTAAACTATTTTTCCTTGAATAAGTTCACTTAAAGGTATGTTTCGGCGAAATAAAAGAAAAATCGATTTTTCGTGAGTGTCTTCCAATTCTCGACACTCTCAGAAAATCACTCTTAAACTTCCGCGTGCCGAGACACACAGCTCAAGATAATACATTGGAGAAACTGAGAAAAATATAGACGAACCGGTAAAAGTTTATTTTGACCTGTAAAGAAGGCAAAAGAGAAGATGTCACTATATTCAAGCTTAGAAATTAGCCATATTACCTTCTACATATCACTCGACTTGCGAAGAAACCCAGCCGTCGATATTCTCTTGCCGACTTCCCAAGAAACATTTGTCCACTTCTCAGAAGAAAAGCACTTAAAAAGCTGCTAAAAAAAAAAAAATTGCCAATCCATTTCCCTGCTAACTGCTAAACTAGTTGGTAAAATACCACGAAACGCGAAGCAAAATCATAACAAGCTGACGTGACCAGCGTGCCGAAAAGAGCCTCATTTGGATGTGTGAACTCGTGCTAGGCTTCCCGGTAAATTACACTTTTCCCCAGGCCCTCGTAAAATTACATCTCTCCTAGCTATGAAGCTGTAAAGATACACAAAATCTCCATGCTATTGGAAAGAGGATCCTTCAGAATCGTATTAGCAAGTTTCGTTTTATTTCCAACTTTAAACGTTGTCGAACAGGACGTAGTCTAACTTTTTCAACTGCAAATTTCGCCTTCAAGATTTTTTAGGAAAAAATGATAGGGGCCCTTTTCAAAAACTGTATTAAGAAATCTATAACTTGATACAAAAAAGTCCTTCATTAATGAGGATTAATGTACTTCTAAAACCATCTGAAAAATTCCTCACGTTCTAATGACGTGAGCAATGACGTCACAGCCCCAAGTTCAAACATAGTGTATGTTCATAAAAATATTTAGTAAAACGTAAGTTCCAGCCAAAAAGAGATATACCCCTCGACGTAGTCCTGCACTTTTTTCGCTCATGCCAATAGCCCCCTTAATTGTCAGACGGCAGAAGTCTCGTGGCCATTTGTAAATAAATAAATAAATTAACTTTGTTTAACGAGGGTAGCACACAACAGTCTTACGACTGACAAACCCGTGGCCCTCGAATTCCCGATCAAATTGGAATTTAGAATTGTTGATTTTTTTAAATGCTCCATAGCATTACCCTTTGAAATATGTGAAAAGCTTTCCAGTTGTTCGATGCATTTTCTTACACAGAGATAATGCGCACTTTTAGACATTGTCACGTGACTTACGACGTCATCGCACCAAATTTGCAAAATATATATATATATTTCATGGCAATTGTTTTTTCGTGTAATGTAGCAACCTTCCAGACTTCAAAACTGACATAGTCCCAGACTTCAAAACTGACAAAGCTATTTAAGATGCAAATTTTTCAGCTGCGAAATATGCTGGGAAAGTTATTATTATAATTATTGTCATTGTTATTATTATTATTATTATTATTGTTATTATTATTACTCTTATTATTGTTAAATTTATTATATTTATTATTTATTGTTATTATTATTATTCAGCTCTTCTCAATATATTTCATTTCTGTAGTAACAATAATAAAAATAATATTTTTCTTAAAAAAATAATAATTATTTGCAGCACAAAACTATTTACAATAACTATTGTAACAAACTCATTAAAAAAGCAAAATGTAGTTTACAGAAATTAACAAAATTGAGAAGAGCTGAGAATTGGAATGTTTGCGTTTTGTGTCATCGATTGTACGCAAGAATTGATCAAAAAACACACGAAAATTACTCTCAAACTTTAAAATGCACATTCTACCGATTATGGAATCTTACTCGTCCTCGCATTAGTACTATTAATAGTATAATATCATGGGTGACAAATTACTCCTTAATTTTGGTGCGAAATTTCAGCGTTAATTCATAATTTCACATGTGAAATTGCAAAATTGCTATGGCAACATCTCTTGTATCTCGATCAGTGCCAAGATGGCGTCGAAATTTAAGACGGTGTCCATTGAAGAAGTTACGGAATTAAAAGAAGCGGCAGAAAACTTAAATACGTGAAAGAGCACAATTAACTGGGTGAGTGTTTTTGAGAAGTAGTGAGACGAAAATAGACTTGAGAGAAACCTAGAGATGAATCTTCCTGAGCAGTTGGATGACTGAAGTACTCGAGCGGTTTTACGCCTTCGAGTGTAAACAAGACAGAACCGCTTACGAACCTGGGTCCCTAAAACTGATTATCTAACCACTCAGTCCGGAAAACGGTGTTCAGAAAGCTGAAGGCCAAGGGAGTTCCAAACTCAGTGGCCACGTTTACAATTTCCACAACTGTAATGTG